AAAAAAAAAAGAGAAAGAAAAAGCAAGGGCCATGTTACACTAAGAATCTAGCACCGTAACTAACAAAGTTCCAAGCAAACCTGCGCCTGAAGTAGTTTCAGCTGTCTGTCTTGTTCTGTGAGGAATCGATAAGCATCCGGAGACAGTCCCATCATCCCATCATCTGCTCCAGTTGTGGGAGTGTGCAGGCACGCTGCACACGGCTGGGGGTTACAAGAGTCTACATGTGAAGGCAGTCTTGCCACAGGTGATGGTTCCGTGGTGCTGTGGGGAGAACCACCCATGCCTCTCTGGGATCTCATGGCTATCGGACTACTTGAAGAATAATACGCAGTGTGGTACACAGCTGGATATCCATTTGGATGAAACACTGAATGCTTTTGAAGGGTTTCACATTGGAGGTCTTGAACAGATCCTACTGAATTCATTCCTCCTTGCCAAGAAGGTATGGGGTTATATTGAACATGGCCATGATGCTGGCAACAACTGCAGACATGCGTGGAATAATAAGATGGGGTGGGAGCAGCAGGGATCTGAAGCTCCACTGGTCTTCTTGAAGTGTGAGGTGAAAAAACAAAGTTGTGTGGGTGAGTCTGTGGGGCAAAAGAAGGCTGCAAGGAATGGAGTGTGGAGGGTCGTAAAGGATACTCTTCTCTTGGGACATTTTCAGCAGGAAGTACTTGACGCCTTTCAGATGTCCCAGGAGACAGTCCATTAAGAGAAGGTAACTGAACAGTGTGCCCGAGGTGGGTGCTCCTTTTCTTGCAGGAAAGTGGGTGTCTAACATTGCAATGCCTCAGTGGAGCAGTGCCTTGGTCTAACTGATTTGGTAGCTCTTTCACGGCTGGTTCTCCAGCTTCAGCATCTGGGCTGTGCTTCTCCTCATGAAGCTGGGAATGCATTGGCTGCAAGTGTTCAGAATGATCAACCAGCAAAGGATTTTCCTTATGCATCATTTCCAATGGATTATGCTGAGCACTTGATTCTATAAAATTGCCATCCAACACAAGTGAAAGTTCGGGAACCGACGGTTGGATCTTGGACACCTAGTGGGAAATATGAAAAAAATTACTTTCTTCAGACCAACATGTCCCAAACTACATACAACTATTTATTTAAAAACACACAATTATATATTTATTTAAACAACAAAAAATATTATCTGGGCATTTGTATGTGCTAGCCATGAAGATTACAATTCTGAGCTAAACACAGTCCTTGATCCCAAAGAAAGCAACTAAGCATTTCTCAATCTGAGGAGACGTTGAACAGGGCAAGATATGACAAAATAATAATTTATAAATTATCAAGGGCTCATGAGGGAGGGGGGAGCAGGGAGGGAGGGGAAAAAATGAGGACCTGATGCCAGGGGCTTAAGTAGGGAGCAAATGTTTTGAGAATGATGAGGGCAACATATGTACAAATGTGCTTTACACAATTGATGTATATATGGATTGTAATAAGAGTTGCATGAGCCCCTAATAAAACGATTAAAAAAAATAATGGCCTTCCTTTTATAGGCATACTGATTAACTTCTCAGATCACCAGGCAAAACACAGACAACGCCTTTACACAACAGGCTTTTTACCCCTGCAAATATACATCCAGAGGGTTTCAATTGATCTAGTAGCAGAGTGGTTTTTTTGTACTTTAAATAACAAGAGCTTCAAAAAATAGTTCTCCACCAAAGGAAATTATTCACTGTCATTCCTTCTTTTGGCAACAGCTAAAGATGTGGAAGAGAGCAGAAAAGAATAAAAATTCACCACTAGCTGTGGTGAATTTGGTTATAATTTGATATTATTTTCCCACTCTTTTCCTGCCGAGACCATCAATTACTGGTAGTCTACCTAAGATAACCAACAATTACAAACCCACTGGTTGATAGCAATCAAACATTCTGATAGAGGTTGTTGGCAATTAAACCTTGCGAAGCGAGCAGAATGTTTTCAGAATATGGCTGCAGTGCAGTGAATTGCACGGTATGGGCTCTTCCGGTCACAGTCTGTGTAATTCCTGTGAACTGACTGACTGGGATTACGTCAGGGTGAGCTGTTTATGGCCTCTAGAGGAACTGAACAGCTTGCTGAAGTGGAAATAAGGCATGTAACAGACGCCCTTAGGGTTGGTGTGAGTACCATCAAGTTAGTTCCACCTCTTATGAGACCATATGCAGAAGAGAACAAAGCCCTGCCTGGTCCGGCACCATCCTCGTCATTTTTGGGATGTTTGAGCCCATGGTCACAACCACTGTGTCAATCTATCTAGTATTCTTGGGGTGGAACCATACAAATTATGTGTATGGAACCCTAACGTGGGGATTGGTCAGTTTTGCAATCCCACCAGACTTAAAATGAGCCATCTCAGAAGTACAAATGGGGGATCTCACTATCATCTAGACAGAAGAGCCAGGAGTGGAAGAAGGTATCCTCTGGATCCTGAGATGTCTACATTGAACCTCCTCAATCCAAGAGACAGAGCTGTGAGAGTACACGCAGCGAAAGACAGAGAGAAGCAGGGGCAGACAAGTGGCGGTAGCAGAACCAGTGCATGTGACAGAGTGGTGCGCTTCCTGGCCCACAGAGCAAGAAAGCTGGGTATGTTTGGGCAGGACACTTGGTGGTGGAGGAGGCTGCCTCTAGGCACTGCCACCCCAAAGAGCTAGAACTGGGTGCTTTCTGAGCAAGTCTGACAAATGGAGTGGGCATTTTAATTGGCAAAACAATATTTGCAGGTCGGAAGTCAAGGGCCATGGGATTAAGATGCTAAGAACTGAAAGACCTTTGTTACACTTGCTCAAGCAGGCCACGACGCCAATGGCCTTACTTCTGATCCTGAATTGTAACTAGTTATTTCCCTAATAAAACCCACAATTATGAGTATGGGCTATGAGTTCTGTGTCGCCATTGCAATGACTTTTCAAACCCAGCAGAAAAGTAGAACGCCACAGATCAACACCTGGTGTGTGAGTTGGTGAAGACAGGTCCAGCTGGAAGCATGGCTGACCTTTACCTTCTGGAGACCAGCCTTGAGCTGCTGGGTTTGATTCCCTTTCCCCATACAAAGCCACAGATCAGAGACTGCCCCACACTACTTTTACAATAGCAATAAAAGCTAATGCCAAACTCTAATAATAGTGTAATATGTTGAAGAAGTGTAGCACAAGTTTTAAAAGCACTAAATTGTGAAACCAGACCTCCTGAATTAGAATCCTAGCTCACCTACATAGAATCCTAGCTATGTGATTCTGGGCAGGTAACTTAACCAATGTGCCTGTCTTGCTTAGTAGTAATAATTATATGTACTTCTACAATGTGTGTGTATTTGTATATCTAAATATATAAACAGACATAAAGACATAAACAAACATACATCCATACAGTGAACCCTCGTTTATCGCGGTTAATCAGTTCTAGACCCTACCGTGATAAATGAAATTCCGTGAAGTAGGATTCCTTATTTGTAAATCAAATATTTTCATAGTTAGAGCATAGAGGACATGGAAAAATCACCCTTTAGTCACCATTACACGCGTATTACCCAATTTATTAAACAAAAAAGGGAAAATACAGTAAACCATTTTGGACGTTACAATTATCATTTATTATTTATTATATTATTTATGGCATCTAGTTTACAGTATTACATATTTCACATACAGTATTATTATACTGTACATAGGATTCTTGGCCTTGTAGATAAGGGCCGGCTTGAGCAAAAATCCCTCAGCATTTCCACAAATAACGAGAGTGTCTCGATCCTTATAAGCCTCGAAGCCACGGACCTTGGTTTCATCCTTAAAAATAAATGTTCTGGAAGGCATTCTTTTCCAGAACAGTCCTGTTTCATCCATATTGAACACCTGCTCAGGATGATACTTGCTCTCCTCAAGGATCTTCTGGAAAGTATTGTTCACGTAGTCCTCTGCTGCAGGCTGGTCAGCTGAGGCAGCTTCTCCGTGAAGAACGACACTCTGCAGTTGATACCTCTTCTGGAACTTTTTGAACCAACCTTTGCTCGCTGTAAAATCCACGAACATTGCAGAAGAGGATTCTGGTTGAGGTTTGTCTGCTGTAAAACGCTGATAGAGCTGCCTTGCCTTCTCCCGGATGACTATCGAATCCAACGGAATGTTTTTCTTGCGCCTGTCATTGATCCAAACAGCTAGGACAGACTCTGTTTTTACTATGAACTTATTACGACTTGTCACGATGCGCTTTGCTTCCTTGTTGAAAGTGAAAGTAGCCGTAGCACAGATGTTTTTTTCCTCTTTACGGATGGAGCGAACGGAAGACTCATTCAAGTCGAAATGGCATGCAACCTCCACGATTTTCTTGCCATCTTTGATCATATCCAAAAGTTTTACCTTTTCCTGGATGGTAAGCATCTTCCTCTGGCGCTTATTTTTATTGTCAGAAGGCTTAGAAGAAGCAGCTCGTTTAGGAGCCATCATAGGGCTTAGATAAAATTTCTTAAAAATCGCAAACAATTACAGTACACTGTACAAAAGCAAATATGCATCTGATACGTAGCTCCGATACGTAGCGATGTAGACAGAAGCGTGTACAGTATGAGCCAATCAGTGGCAGTAATGACAGAGCATGCGCTGTTACGCAAAAACCGCGATAGAGTGAAGCCGCGGAAGTCGAAGCGCGAAGTGGCGAGGGTTCACTGTATATGTATTTAGATACAGAGACATAGATATATCTTAGAACAAGGTGCTTGGGGAGACAGTGGTGAAATACTTAGCTGCTAAATGAAAGATTGGTGGTTTGAACCCATGAGCCACTAGATGGGGGAAATGTAGCTGTCTGCTTCTGTAAATGCATAGCCTTAGAAACCCTAGGGGGCAGTTTTATTCTGTCCTATGAGTCACAATGAGTGGGAATTAACTCGTGGGCACACACCACCACCTTCGAATAGTTAAATAACTTTTAGATAGCATTATTCAGTGCTTTTAACCTGGGGGGGGATTTTAGGGCCCTAACCCAACATGTTAAATCAGTGATACCTTCTGGCTCACTGGGTGAGGACTGGGAATCGGTCTTGGAGAAAAGTCTTCATCTTCCACGCCAGAGTCTTGATCACTTATTAACATTTTCCCTGGAGGCAACTTCTGAGAAGACCTAAGGAGTGGGAGACCAAAAAAATGTTCAGCAACCTGGTCACTTAAAAAATGGACAAAGTGCTCTAATAAGCCACACAGGTGTTTGGATCTTTTATTTTATTTATTTTTCCCCCACCCCCTGGATCTTTTAATTTAGTATCTGATACCACCAATTTTCCCCACTAAGTCAATTTTCGTTAACCAGCAGTGGCCAGACTCATGCTAGTTATCCTTTACCTGATCATGGTAAGTTTAGCGCAGCATTTTATTTTCTCAAGTTTTCATTTGAATTAGATCGTTAGTTTTACCGTTGACAATTCATTTTGTTTCAACTCACGCACTGCCAACCTCCTCAATAACAAACCACCACTTATTCTGCTTCCTCCCGGTTCCCGACTTCCACTCCTCCCGCTTTCCACTCCCTCTGAGCTTTGCCCTTGGCAAATGCCACCCTCGACTTTAACTGGATGCGTATTCACCCTATCAGAGGTGGGAGTTCAGTTCCAGACCTGAACGAAGCGTGACTTCGGGCCACAGTGCCAGGAGGCCCACTTGTCTCTATCTGACCTATAAACCTGGCCTCTTAAAAATCAGTATTCTTAATGCCACAATAAATCAATAGTTGCTGGATTTTGAGAAATTAGAAATATGCAAGGTAGTACTCAATGCCAACAAATTTATCACCTGATGTTGGAAATTGATACGCTATTTCATTAAAAAGGAAGATTAAATAAGGACTTATAATTTCCTATGGACTTTGGGACGTTCAGTCAACTGTAATCATCGCATACTGCGTGGCATGCCCCCACAAACCACAGCAGAGTTGGGTCAGTGTTGGGTTTTGAAAGCTGAAGTTGATAAAGGTCTGGAAGACTGTGACCCTAAACTAAATAAAGTCTCAATAAGGATGAGTTTGGAAAAGAGGAAGATAGGCCAGAAGTAGCGCAGAGTGTAGACATCACTGGACTCTGAGAAATACTGCAGGTTCAATCCTCCCTAGGAGGGAGAGCAACAGAACCCCACACACAGATTGGGCTTCAGACTCTGGTGCTCTGGAGAAGCAGAAAAGCTTAGCATTCTTTTCTGAGCCAAGTTATTGCCTTGAAGTAATAAGAACATCTACTTGAGCAGACAAGTCTGGACAAGCCCACCAGACCCCCTCCCTTCCCAAACCAAGAATGACATGGAAATAGACAATGATGTCCCATGTGCCTCAGTGTGGGCGGACATGACACAAAGAGCCAGCGACCGGCATAGAAAAAAGGAACCTTCCCAGAACTTCTGTCAGAGAACAGGTGCAACGAAACAGCTCATCCGAAGGCAGCACGATGGATGACAGTCACATCCCACATCACCAGTCGTGAAACCCCAGTTCCCAAACCGCATGTAGTCCCACAGCAAAGGAAATGAGGAGACACTGAACTGACTGAAATTTAGTTCCTACAACCTAGCAAAATGAACAGGGGCCCAAAATGAAAAATATAGCTCATTTACTGAAAGAAAAAATAAAAAGTTAGATTTCTTCTACACTAGTGTTTCTGGCGTGGGATTAAAAATGCTATATCCTTTTTTATACCTCACCCATTTCCACAAAGACCTAAGACAATTTTTGATAAGTATACACACACACACAGCAGTTAATATAAAAAATTGAGTATAAGTTCATCAGTTGTATAAAGTTGCTGCTTTTGAGTAAAAATATTCCATTTCTGAGCATTTTTAATCACCCAAGGCAAAAAAAAAAAGAAAAAAGAACCCCACCTCCACCCCCAGCCCCCATGTTCCATAACTATTATACCAGTTCTTTAGGCGATGCAAACAGCTTACTAAACTCTAAAATGAGAGACACCTTTAACACTTTTAAAAAGCTTTTTACAGTTGAAAACTGTAAAAAATTGCAAAAGAAAGGAAGAAAACACAAAAACCCATAATTTGTCCACTCATTCAAGGCTTATATTTTAGCAATAATGTTTGGATTTTCTTGTTTTCTAGTACCACCTTGCCTATGTCACAAAGAACTGCTAAGATGTTGTAGTTGATTTAATTCACCAAAACTTCTACCTATCACTTTATGTCTCACAAGAATCACACACACACACACACACACAC